TACCTCAGCGATGAGCAGGTAAGAGACATCGCTGAGAAAAACGGATGGAAATACGTGGAGTATCCAGGTGAGGTCAAAACATGCGACATCACGAGCATCTTTAACTCATCATCTCTAGGTTCCGCGATTTTTTCTCGCAATGGCTTGATATCAGGAAAACTGCAAACGAAGATAATCTACAGAAAATTCTCGACTTCTGGAAAGATAAGTGAGCTGCCGGGAAAGGCTGGTCAAGGGGGCCTCATCATTTTCAAAGGAATATGAATGATGTGAACTGCTACTTTAGGGGATAGGCTCTGGAACAAGACACTGCTGTGATCTGCTGTCCTTGAAATGAGCCACTCCTAAGAGACCTCTCTTGTTCATAGTGGAGAACAAAGATCGATCTTTAGCGAGCGCTAGTGGACGATTTAATAAGCATTATTTAGTTAATACTCTCTAAGTTTAGTTCTGTGATGACAAGTTTTCGTTTGTTTAAGTTTCTCGTGAGAATTTCTCTTGCAACTTAGTAAAGAAAGGTATGCAGGGGGGAAGAAAGCATTGCGAAACCACTTATTTTGCATATTTGTGATAAAGTGTGCGTTGGTATCTATTGATAATGGATTGTTCTCGAGGGTATTATCTCATGGGATCATTTACTACGGTGAATAGTTTAAACGTAGGTGTAATCATTGATCTTGTAGTTTGATCGTCCGAATGTCAGTAATCTTGAACACGAGTCACAAGTACTATTTACTGATCATGACTTTCGCTCAGTATCAGTGTCAGTCGTTAGTACCGACAGTCAGTGTTTTCCCGGTCTACTATTGTACATTTTTATATCAGTATATCAGACTACACGAACAACCGATCAAATACAGAAAATCACATGTAGATTGGAGAAGTATCTATATAAATCTGTGGAAGCGTTTTTTCCCTTTCGTATCTGGTGCAGCGATGTTTCACGTACCGGAAGAATATCGATTTACATTTTAAGGTGCTCTCATTTTAGCACCAACACAAACAGATATTCCGAATTACCTGGGTAAAAAATTTAAGACCGTTCAGAAATCTTCAGCTGTATCATTTTTTACCTCGACTGCACGCACAATTTCGGCGATGGCTAAGTTTTCATTGGCCTCTTTTCTAGATTCTTATGAAAACGGTCATCGGGTAAAAAAAGAGGTCGGAAAAAATAATTGAAACTCCACACTTTTCACTCGTAAATTGCTTTTTATTTCCCCTCAAACCACCTTAAATTAACACTTTAAGAACGCATTTTCTGATGGATCCAGTTTACGTCCAGTTTATCTATCCGCATGTTCTCATCCACCTAACCCAGTGTGCTGTTTGATCCACGCTCGGTACTGCGTCACTCGAGCAAACACAGTAAAAAGTTGTTTAGCATCGCATCTGGAGGAACCCCAGCTTACTGCACCATGTAAAGTGTATGTCTTCCCGTCCGCATTCAAGCACACATACGGTCCTCCGCTGTCACCATGGCAACCACTTAAAATGGTATTGTCCACGCCCGCACACAACATTTGCGGAGTTAACGATATTGAGACTACAAAAAATGAAAATATCCCTAGATAAGCACGAGTAATCCAAAACAACACAATTTTTATTCATTGTCAAAGATAATACAAAACTTCTTTGGATTTTATTAACACCGTGAAAAATCTTTTTGTGACTGATGTTACTCGAATTCAATATGTTCTTGCTGGAGTCAAACGGCATTCGACTTAGTCAATTAAAGGGTTCATTAACAAATAGTGGGTTACAAGGTTTGATACACAAGTATGGTTAGTTCGAAGCATC